CCACGTATTGATCTATGTGTACGTCAGCCAAGAAGACGTGGGCACGTCGCTTCGCATTAAATGCGGCGCAGTGGGGCTCTTCGTCCATCGCGCCCGGTTTGGGCCGTTGTTGAAGATCGTGTCTAGGAACCGTCGGATCCTGGCCATCCAGGTAAGATCCGATTTGTTCGGCCTTACTCTTCAACTGTTTTAGCCTTGAACGGTCCAATCGAGTATTGAGTAACCGTCTAGGATTCTTAGAGTATTTAACACCCTTACCCTCTGTTAAGAGGGGCTACGGTTTCTTTCCTCGTCTTCTTCAAAGGAAGCCCAAGTTTTCTCTTCATCGTATCTCTAATGGCACCGAAGGTGAAAATGGTCGCTTCGAAGAAAAGGAAGGAGGCGTCTTCTTCGGGCGCCGCTGAGGCCGCCGCCGCCGAAGGTATATATATATTTTTTGACTTTCGCGTGGGTTGAGCAGGTATTCTTCCTTCGACTCTTCCTATGTTATTGTTGTGTTTCACAGATCGAGAAGAGGCGCCGACTGCCGAAGAGCAGACGGCCAAGCCCATCCTAATTTCTGACGACGAATCTGAAGGTCCTGCTACTTCCCCTACCTCAGGCCCCAATCCTCAGCCAGGAACTGAACCCTGCCTCGAGGTTCCACCCATTGCGGCGCTTGCTTCGGGTCAAGAGCCTGCTTCCTCTGAGTCCTTGCCCTTGCAGGCCCACGTCGAAGAGTTTGAGAATGTCGTGAGGCAGGTGATCTCCCTCGTCAATCTTGGCATGGGCAGCTTTGACGGTTTCAGGCAATCTCTCCTCGATCGCGTGGTCGACTTTCGGCGGTCGAGCGAAAATCGACTTGCTACACGTTGCATGCAGGAGCTCCGTATTTTGGAGTCGCATATGATAAGGCTAGAGACATTGCTATGAGAAGTTCCGGAAGCCGACACGGAGTCTTGCTTGGTTCATGTCAGGCGTCAGGAAGCCTGGGAACAAGAGGTCCATTCCAAAGAAATAGCGGACTTGTAGTCCATCGTCAACTTCTGGGTGGGTCAACAACACTTGTTAGAGGAGCAAATTATCAACCTCAATCGCACTATAGCTCGCCTGAGGGCCGAATTGGGACAGTCGGAGGCGAATTTGAAGGGGCTCCAATTCGAGGTCGTAAAGGTCAGCAAGGCCGCTGAGGCGGAAACTCGAAGCCTGCTAGCCTTGCGCCAGGCAGATGCTGCCGCCAGGTCAAGCTCTGAAGACCGAATTCAGAAGGTTGCTGAAGACAAAACTTGGGAAGACCACGCGAGGAGGGTGGCGATGGCCAAAGAAGAGCTCTCCTCTTTTAGCCTGTTCGACTGAGATCTCAAATTTATGACTGTGTTAAGCCATTTTGCTTATGACTTGTTTGTTTATGAAGTCATAACTTTGTTCAAATGTATTGTCTTAAAAACTGGGTGCATGTTTTGCTTCTTGAATGTAATATTATGACTTTCGCAGTTGCAAAAACCATAACTTTGTTCAAATGTAGTGTCTAGAAGCATCTACTGAAGTTCGTGTTTTCTTGTTACGCACACCTCCTTTTAGTACATTGTCGTTCGGTGTTTTGCTTGCATAGCCGACGGCGACTTAATGTTGCAGGCGAAACCCTTCGAACGGTGACGAGTTTACGCCGAAGGTTGGACTCCGGTGTAGGCGAGTTTACACTGCAAGCGAAATTCGAGTGACTGCGAATTAGCACTGCAAGCCACTCTCTAGAATGCTGGTGAGTTCCTGCCATAAGTGGAACTAACTTGACGGCGAGTTCGCTTGAAGGTTGATTCCGATCGTTGGCGAACTCAGCTTGCAGGCGAAACTCTTGTGGTGGCGAGTTCGTGTTGAATAACAAATCTAACCGTTAGCGGGTTTAGACTGCAAGCGGAACTTATGGGAAGGTGAGTTTATGCTGTAGACCTAACTTGGCCTCTGGCACGTTTAGGTTGTAAGCGAAACTTCGTGCGGTTAGATCTGACTCATGGCGAGTTTGTATTGTAATCAGAACTCAAGCGACGGCGAATCTGTCCTGTAGCCGAAAATTCAAAAATGCGGGCAAAACTCGTGCCACGCGTCTGCTAGCGGGCCCAAGTGCTTGCTAGCTAAGGCCTTAGGGACGTGTTAATACTCATTAATGGCGAAGTGACAGAACGCTTCGCCTCTTGGGCTTTATCCGATCGGTCGGTTTGGGGTCCCGAGAGGAATGGCATTTATCAGTGCTGAGCTCGAGGCGTCGCAGGACACCTGGGCCGCTCGATTGCTTGAGGGGACAGATCCTGACTGTTGGATTTTTGGCTATATATATACTTTCCGTCTTTTCAGCAGAGTTCTTACCTCTTCGATAAAAATCTGCTAGAAGAAGATCGTTGCCGAAACCTCCTCTGCCTCATGGCTTCTGACTCCGACCATAGCGCTTCTGAGGGTGTTGGTTCCTCCGCCACCATCGTCGATGTCGGTGCTCTGCCCACTTCCCCTGTGAACTCGGCCCAGGGGTCTTCTACCCTAGACCCCACAGCTCACCCTGCGTTCGGGGCCCTCTAGAGGTTGGAGGGTTTGGTGCACGGAATCGCCATCTCCGTCAGCGAGGGTGGAGAGAGGTACTATGACGTGCTTCCCCTCGTGGAGGCGGGTATAAGAGTGGTTCACCGC